CATGAACATGCCCTTTACCACCACCAGGTGTCACCTGTAGAAGCAAGAACAGGCGGAGGTTGACTCAGAAATTTAGTCACTGATGTCTCCAACATCACCATTATCCTCTTCAGCATCTATAAATTTATTATAAGTTAACATCTAATTTGCATCACTTGCTTTCTACAAAGTTCTTCCTGTAATCGCTCTTTCATTCTTTGATTATCTAGTAAAGAGTCACTGGAGACCTCAAGTGAGGTAGGCATTGTGTATTGTATACCAAGCTTTTAAACCAGTGGAAGAGACAATATTAAATAGTTACAATAAGAATTATGTATACAAGCACTTCAAAAGGAATTTAAATTAGTTTGAGGTCAATAAAGTCTAAAATGACTTGGATTCTGTAAACTGATGGTCATTGAACACCAATAGGAATCCCCACCTTCAGGTGTGGAAAAGGAAACTTTATGCAAACAACTAAAGTGTGATAAAAGTGCTACATGTCTGTGTAAAAGTGCTACAGCACTGCTATGAAAACAGCGCACTGTGAGGTGGAGGGTGGGGTGGGGGGGTGGAGGTGTGGGGGTGTGTGTTGGGGATGACAGGCCACTGGTCAACTCAGCTCCTCCATTATTTGCTGGGTGCTGTATGCTCTGCTTCCTCCGGGGAGACACCTTCACTGTTCTAAATCACCAGGAGAGACATAGTCTCCAGTCTTCCACAGAAAGGAAAAATGCTCTTAGAGCCAGAGGGGGACCTGGCTCATATAGACAGCAGTCTCTGCCCCTGGTCTCTGATTGGTCTGTCCTCATGTAAATAAGGGCTCCAAATCCTGGCAGTTTGATTTGTCCAAGAAGCACTGTCCTGATTGGTCAAAATAGAACCTCTCTGATTGGTCAGAGCTGCATAGTTCTGATTGGATAGGAAAAGCCTTAGTTCTATTGGTTGAAAGAGGATTCCAGGAAATCTTTATAAGGGCTGGCTCAGATAGCAGAGACTGTAGGCTGGCAGTTGTATGCACAGGCTCTCTGCTAAGCGCATTTTGTGTGAGAGGCCCTGTGAAGAAATGGCTGCTAGGCTTTGATTTTTTATTTTTATTTTTTATTTGAGCCCAGGTAACCACCCTTCTTAGTAGGTTTTTTGTTTTGTTGTTTGTTTTTCTCTCAGGGTTCACGATACCAAGGTCCACTTACAGTGAGAGCAACCACCCCCTCCCACACACACTCCCCAACTCCTCCTGTTACAGGGGCCTCTTGAACTCCTTTTGTGATGAGAGGCTCCTTGATCTGCTTCTTCTGTTTATAGTGTAATTCCAGCCTGTCTGTATCTGTATCGTAGCTTGGTTTTGTATTTATCTATGTTAGAAATTCAGTTTGGCTTTAATCACAGAAACCTGAAATAACAGTGCTTACATAAACTAGAGGATTAATCTTATTTCTCATGGCTCCTTGGTAGCTGCATGATGCCAACAAGGACCTGGGCTCCTTTTCCTTTGCTCCTCCTCTGTCCTTAGTTCTGGTTTCTATTCACAAAATTGCCAGAGCCGCAGGGTGCTGGGCTCCAACCATGATGTCTGGGACTTTAGAAGAAGCAAAGAGGCATAGCAGAAGGTATCCATAGCTGGATGAGCCCCTTCAAATGGGATTTTTCAACATTTTCATAGTTTTCCTCAATTATAGTTAAAGCCAAGTCAATTATAGGTAAGGCCAAGTCAGTGAGTGGCTCCCGCAATGCAGGGCACACTCCTTCAGAGCCACACCTTTGGAAACTCCCAGGTAATTGCCAAATTGAATTTTCCATCCTCACCTCACCTTGGCGCCCTCTCATGTTGGTCCATTGAGGTGGCACTGTAGGTGTGTTTCCTCAGTCTTTGTGATGAAGATCACAGGTGTATTTCTGTCAGATATCAGATAGGATGCAGGATACCCAGCTTTTGCTGCTTCTAGGTAGCGAGTGGCCCACCCATTTTTTCTTACTGTGAGAGCAACTGCTAGTGGCCTCGGTATTCATGTTCCCCATTTTCTTTACTTTGGGCCAAGAGCCCAGTGTGGGAGGAAGCAAACTATGAAAATGGAGAGCTCAGCGTTACTGTTTCCTTCTCCCCCTTTCTCCACTGGTCACTGCTACCAGGCACTGCTACCAGGTACAGGGACACATGTCCCTGGCAGTCTCTCAGGGACTGACAAAGAGGAAGCAGAATCTTAGAGCCCCAGAGCTCAGGCTGCTGTGACTATGGGCCCTTGGGGTCATGGGAGGGGTGGGGAAGGGATCTGGCTATGGCCAGCATTCCAGGAGCTGCTGCTGAGTTGGGCCCTGAGGACCACTAAGGAGCAATAAAGGAAGGCCCAAATACCAAATAATCATGGGCCTGGCCCAGCCTGATGGTTCTTTCCTTCCGCTTCCATTTTGTCCGGTACCTCTTGGGTTCAACATGCTTTATGTAGACTCAGATTTGCTCTTGATCTTATAAACCCTACTCAACAATAACGCTCAAATTTTATGATTGGATTGTGTTTCATTTCATTGTATTTAAGTTCCTTCTCAGAGCTGGAGTCCTTAGAATCTACTTACAAGACTTTTAATTTACTGGACTTCTTCCATTGTGGTGTAGAGCAAATGCGAAATTAGCACTGTCTTCAA